ATAAATCTACTCCCATAAACTTCATATGTGTCTCCCTCATATTATATTCCACTAGCGTTTAGTCGCGCAAGGCGCGATATCAATTGCCCAATGCTAAAGTAAATTTTCGAAAAATTAAATAACTACTTTACTAATGTAAGAGATGTCATATTTAATGTGAGAGATGTCATATTTAATGTGAGATTTTAATGTGTACGGCATGAAACAATTGTAGTCAGAGTAGGTAAAGTACTACCCCCATCTTGAAAAGGTTTTCATATTTTTTTTATCAATGATTACAAACTTTGGATAACGATTTTAATTATTACTACCTCCGTCCCTTTTATATTGGTACGGAGGAGGGTGACACGATTATTAAGAAAAGTGGGTTTATGTGGTTGATATTAATTGATAAAGTAAGAATAAAGTAAGAATGATTTAGAGCCACACAAACTTTACCAAATATGGTATGTGACAATATTAGTGGGACTTCCCAAAAAAGAAAACGAGACAATATAAGGGGGACAGAGGGAGTATATTTGTATATAATTTATAAATTTTATACTTTTATGAAAAATGTTTTTTATCATCAAACTGAATAATATATTAGACCAACAAATCATTCGCCAACTGGCTTACAATACATTGAGGTATATCATCACAATTAACCTTCTGATCTGAGATACAAACGTGTGCCCTTGCAAGCGCATGAGCAACACAATTCGCAGACTTTCTACAAAAAGAGAATAATATTACTAGATCCTTGTTTCTAAAATTTTCGTGATATCATCAATAATGAGATGGAGATAAGATGAACTCTCTCCCTTTTAAATGCCTTGAACCACAGATAAGATGAAGCATCTGTCTCTATCTCCACATGCTGCCAACCTTCCTCCACCGCTACCAGCAAAGCATCACGCACGCCCATCGCCTCTGTCTCAACCGCGGTCCAGCCTGTTGTGTGAGAATCTCCCAATTAGGGCTGTTAACGAGCCGAACCGAGCCCGAACACCCAAAGCTCGAATTCGGCTCGTTAAGGAATAAGGGGTGTTCGGGTTCGAGCTCGAAGCTCGGCGAGCTTTACAAATGAGGCTCGTGTTCGGCTCGATAGGCGTTCGATGTTCGAACCGAGCGCTCGATAAGCTCGATAAATATGTCTGAATTTAAAATTTTAGATGATGCTCGTTAATAGGCTCGTGCTCGAATGGTTCGACAAGTATTCGGTTCATTAATAATCATATTTAAATTCATAAAACCATACTAATTATATTTAAATTTTGACATATATAAAAATTATATTTAAAATTTTAGGGTGTTCGATAGGCTCGAGTTCGAACCGAGCCGAAAACTACTATGTTCGAGCTCGGCTCGATTAATTTTTCGAACTTAAAACTCAGCTCGAGTTCGAGTTCGAAGCTCGTTAAGCTCGGCTCGTTAGGTTCGAAAACGAGCTCGAGCTCGAATAGTTCGATAAAAGCTCGGTTCGTTAACAGCCCTACTCCCAATGCTCTAAAAAAAGCACCATATTCGTCTCTAGCAATCCAGCCCCACCCACTTCTTCCCTTCCTGGTTGACCGCTCCATCCACATTAATGTTAATAGTTCCATTTTGAGGTTTAACCCATTTGTCCCTCCTATCCTTGCCCAAAGTTGCCTTCTCCATCCCAGAGTCTTGAGCTTCTTTCTAGCTAGCCAACATGCTAGCGGGGCATTTAAAACACAAGCGGCCTCCTGTACTTGATTTTCCCAAACCTCATTATTCCTCATTTTCCAAATGCTCCAAAGAATAGTCACAAAATTACTTCTACCCTCCATATCAAGTTTATCCAGCTGCTGACTCAACTAGTTCTCAGCCGTGGCCTGGGCTGCACATACCCCATAAAGTTGTTTGTCAGTCGCCACACTTTTTGAACTCGAATACATGACCGCATATCATGGATCTATGGATTCGGACATCCACGCCTTTCATCCTCAAATTGTCAACGACTAGGAGTGTACCATCCAAAACCTGCCAAACAAAAATTTTAAAGTTTGGTGGTACCTTAAGATCCCATAAATGCTTCCATCCATGCCATCCTTCCGCTTGAAGTTTGCCTATAAGTAGGCGGTAACAGCTTTTCACTAAATACAAACCATTGTTTTCCCCCTTCCACCAGTACTCGTTCTTTCTATCTTGCGAGCTGATCGGAATACTAAGGATTTAATTCCTATCCTCTTCATTAAACAAGGAATAGACTATGTCAGTATTCCAATTCTTCCCTGTGATATCACATAAAGCCGCTACATTCATATCACAGACACCTGCGAGACGGGCATATGTAATTTTCCCGGACCCCTGCCCAGGTTACCATGTGTCTGCCCAGACCCGTACGTCAATGTCATTCCCAACACGCCTTCTAATATTATTTTTAAGAACATCTTGAGTCTAAAAAATACTTCTCCAGATATATAAAAGAAGAATTATTACCCAAATTTGCATTAAGAAAATTTGAATTCAGGAAATACCTTACTTCAAGAACCCGACTCATCAGGCAACTCTCATCAGTAGTTAGTCGCCAACCTTGTTTACTCAGCATAGCCAAATTAAACTCTCTCAGCCTCCTAAAGCCTAAGCCACCTAACTCCTTTGGTTTATATACTCCATTCCAGCTCCTACATCTCAGCCCTTTATGATCCATTTTTGTGCCTCTCTTCCAGAACCCATTCATTAACTTTTCTATATCATCACATAGATCTTTTGGCAACAAGAAAACATTCATGACATAACTAGGCTTAGACTAACCACATTTTTCAATAAAAACTGCTCTGTCAGCTCGAGATAAAAAATGATTGTTCCAGCTCTTGATTCTACTATAAATTTGGTCACAAAGATACCCTAAGATGACGGTCTTATTTTTTCCTATCAAGGCCGGCAAGCCCAAATACTTCAATTGCCCCCATCCCGCGGTATCCCCAGAATCCGACAGGCGACAGCAATCTTGCTTGACTGATTCACCAACGTTCGAACTAAAAGACATGGAGAATTTGGCACAATTAACTACTTGGCTAGACAAAACCTCGTAGTCGTGCAAAATTCACCTCACCGAATCACATTCACTACTCGTAGTTTTTGGATTCTCCTCTACAGACTGCAACTCCGTGTAAATCACCTTTAGTTTCATCTCTTCTCAACATAGCACGTAATCCTTCAACAACTAAAATAAATGAATAGGGTGATAGAGGGTCTCCTTGGCGCAGCCATCTCCCCAAAACAAATCAGCCCTATAAACTCTTTTACAAATTGGACATAATAATTAACAGTGGAAACACATGCCATAATCATATTAATCCATCTCTCACTAAACCCAATCTTAATCATCATTGCCCTTAAAAGTCCCAGCTCACACGATCATAAGCTTTGCTCATATCTAATTTAAGGGCTACAAAATCTTCCCTGCCATATTACTTTCACTTTAAATAGTGCTAAGTCTCAAAAGCCACTATTGTATTATCAACTAGATCTCCCCAGTATGAAAGCACTTTGATTATTTTCTCCAATAAGACAGCTCAAAAACCCTTTCATCCTATTAGCAAGAACTTTTGAGAAAATCTTACAAACGACATTAGACGGACTAAATATATCCTAAATATATTCCCCCAAGATAATAATAGACTAGACAATGCATAGATAGCATCAATGTCAAGAAAGTAATGGAGCCCCAAAATGAAGTAAATATTAGAATAACTCACTATTCCGTGCTCGGGGAGCCCTTTTGAGAGCATAAAGAGTCTCGTACTCCGTATGACTTACACAAACGAGAAGGCTTGGCCGGAAGGAACAACATACATACTCATGTGGTTGGTCAAGGCACACCTAATTACCTAAACATGCTAAGTATCATGAAAAAGGAATCATTTATGTCTTCCTGGCGAATACATGTAGTGTCAAAGTACGAACGGTGAATGTTTTTATGACTGGACTGAATGCATTGGAATAGTCACGACTAGGCTTGTGGGAGTGCCCCTTGATTTAACCAAGCTTTACATTTGTCAATCTTTAAATGCATTGGAAAAAATGTTTTTATCATTGACACGATATCAAGTACTCCAAAAGCAAAAAAAAAGTTAGTATTGGTTGATTAGTTAGTATTGGTTGATTTTGATCTCTTTTTGACATGTTGGTTGTCTTAACCATTTTATACCTTAGAGCTCATTTGATAGAACAAAATTTGCAACTATGGATAAACTTTGACAGAAATAGCTGAAAGGACTAAATCTGATGACTTGTACTACCTTCGTCCCTATTTAAAGTTTTCACATTTCCTTTTTTTGACGTCCCTTAATAAAGTCCATTCCCTTATTTGAAAAATAAAACACTGCAAAACAATATCAAAAAGTGTCAAAGTTACCAAACAACACTAAAACAATGTCAAACAAGCTCAATTTCTTAACATGAATGCAATTAAGAGTGGGAACTTTAAATACAGACGGAGGAAGTAATATTATTACTAGTCAATGTGAGCAAAGTATGTTACTTTGCTACTACTACTTAAAATTGATCGATTTCTATCCGAAATCAAATCAAATTAGAAATCTACCATACTAAATAGTATATACACATACACAAACCTTTACCAAATTGATCCGTGTTAGGTGTACACATTTTGGTGTACACTTTTCGTACACTCGTTTGTCTCACGCATACAGAATTTAGAGTTATTTGTAAACAGACAAATCTGTACGTGTGAGACAGACAAATGTACAAAAAATGTACACCTACACCCAAACATTTTTTTATACCAAATGAGGGAGTATAAATCAACCTAACTCAACCCAAAAACATTCGAGATGTGTTTACTTGCTCTCTCCCATGGTCCTGCCCATCCAAACACACCGCTATCCCTTTGGGTCGGTTCACGAACAAGTGATACCGTGGAACCCACGATGTGCCGTCCGTATATACTCAGTGGGCACCACAGGTGACGGCCGCCAAAGACTCACCAGAAAGCGAAAGCCATATTAGTGTGTATGATTTGGGTTCAAGAATGAACCAAGGGCACTTTGCTTTTAGCCTTTCACTTGTAAAAAGAGGTGTCTTTCTGCCTCCACCGCTCGTTCGCTTCTCTTCTCTGGCGTGGCGGCCATGGCGTCACCTTCTCACCCTTCATCTCTTCCGACCCATTCGTCCGTAAAAACCCATGCAACCATCCGACAACTCCTTTTCCCCATCTTTGCCTTGCTCCTCCACCTCTCTCTGTCTCCGGTCGTCGCATTTTCCGGTGATTAATTATGCCCCCTTGTTTGGTCTTCTCATTCCTTTCATTTTGTTTGATAGATGTGAAGATTTGGCCTCCTATCTTGAAAGCAACCTATCAAGGAGTATCTTACCAATCTTCTCATAATGTTAAGATGTGTGGCTATTAGAGCATATCAATCTTAAAATCTAGGTGTATTGAGATGTATGACTATTCGATTGATAGTTTAAACCCAATGGGCTCTGATAATATATATTAAAGATTTGAACTTTTTATGCTGATTTATAAGTATATAAATTTAATGGAGTTGGTGAGGGGTGGCTTCTGTTCCCAACTCTTAATAATTCTTTTAAGCTATGATTCTTAAAGCTAGCACTCCCCTTCTTAACTCACCGTTTTCAGTAGTAGTATTACTATGTCTTAGTTACTATTTCATCAGTGAAGGTGCATCTTTGTTCTTGCCTTGTTTTTTAATTCATTCTCTCAGTCTCTCTACCTGACTCTAATCTTTTGGGACTAAGGCTTGAATGTTGTTTTGTTGTTGTTTCTAGTTTGCTTTTATCTTACATGTAAGAAAAGCTCAACACATAAAATAGAACGTAGGGAGTATGTATATATTAATGTGAGTTTCAGTATTTTGCATACTTTTTATTCACTTTTTATTATAGGTTCTGATAGATTGGAGTGTATTCCTTTGGTAATGATTTAGCAACTCTGAACATTTTTCCCTTAACTGATATTTTAATAAATATTAAACTGGGATAATGTTGCATTGTTTGGTGTATGGACCATGCCTTGTTTCATTAAGGGTATCATTAAGGTAAAGCGTTCTGTCCTAAGCTCAGCTGTCAAAGCATTGTAGTCTGACTGTCTCAAGTCATTTCTGCCCACATGAAATTTGAGTTTCACTTGTGGAGCGATTATTACTGTGTACTATATGCTTCTGCTTATAGGACTACTATTTTTTTTTATGCTGGTGTATCAGCTTAAACGATTTGATCCTTTAAATCTTGAACGTGGATTAATTAACTGTATATTTTAACCAGGCACCAGCAATGTAGAAAGCTCTAAAACTAACTTGTTTCCAGAAATACTGAAGCAGGAGGCTGTGGCAAGGCTATATGAGCTTGGAAAGGTATTGGCTTCTTTCACTCTGATGGCTTGCATCACCCTCTTCTAGAAAATGTTAACCCAACAATTGAACATGATATTTGATCTCCACTAGTTGTGTGTTTGTGTTTGTTTTTTCCACCTATATTTTCTCCTTTGATTTGTTCTTTGTTAGACCTAAAGATTTTAAGAGACTGGATCTCTAAACATGTTTCTAGCATGTTTCTCGTATACTTCTTAAACCCAATCGATAATAAGCAGGCGGGCATTAACCTTTTAACCGCATCCCTTCATAGTGTTTCAAACGCTAAAGGTTCATCTTGAGGTGTCTAATTCTGTGATGAGCATGCTTAACTACGGAGTTCTAATGCTAAAGGGTCTCATTTCCATCATACAGTCCATTGGTGATGACTAGTTAGTGTTTTACCATTAGACTCTATCTCTCCATAGTGATACACTTTTCGCATTATAGAGTTAGTGCTGACATCACATAATCCCATAATTCCCGATTTTTCAGCACTCTTTTGGATGCAATGACCACATAGAGAATATGGATGTCTCATTTTCTCATACTTGCGAGGCTAAGTCAAATGCTATGTCAATATTTTATTACTCGTTTATATGCATCAGTACGCTATTATAAATTTATAACACTACTCCTTTGCAGGTGAGTGATGCAGTTAACTATCTTGAGAGGACATTCCAAAGTCCTGCTTCTATAAGGGCTGGGAACCTTATTCGTTCATGGATGGAGGATGCCGGTTTGAGAACGTGAGTTTTGCCTTGCGCTCATGGTTTCGTATTATTCAAGAAACTTAATTACGACTGCCAATAATTCCAGATGGATTGACCACATGGGAAATGTTCATGGACGAATCGACGGAATTAATCCAACTCAGAAGGCTTTGCTAATTGGATCTCACTTGGTAAGGCAATGCATTTCCTTTTTCACTTTAAAGACTTTCATTATTACATTTTCCTGCCACCTACTATGATTACTTGCTGTTAACAGGACACTGTTATTGATGCTGGATATTTTGATGGCTCACTGGGAATAGTATCGGCGGTATCTGCTTTGAAGGTCTTGAAAGAAACTGGGCGGTTAGGGAAACTAAGACAGCCAGTTGAGGTGAGATTCAAAGTCAAATTCCTTCTAGAAGGTCAATGCGGTTACAATGCTTCTGTGAATTTGTGCTGTATCTTGGGAGTGGTCTAGTGCCTCTCCATGAAGACACAAAATCTCTATAACTAATAGATTCTAATTAAGTTACCTCATTGGCTTCAAAATTTGCAGAACCCTTTAGTCATTTTTTCAAATATCACTAGGAGCAATCCTTGATTTTTCTGAAAGTGTGATGTTGAGTTTGTTCTTGTAAATTGTTGTTTATGGAACAATTGTTTATTATACAACTACTGTGTATTAAAACATTGAGATTGCAACTAAGTAACTTCATCTGAGTCACATGATATTTGACATAATTTAATATTGGTTAGGGATCACTCAATTATGCCATAAGGTAAAAGTACACTAAAACATTTACAATATGTTAACTATTCAATCCAGATCTTAATCATCTTCTTACTCATCATTCATTCTTTGATTTCTTGATAGGGGATTTTAACATTACTTACCATTATAGTACTTGGATGATGATGACGATTTTGGAAATTTATCTCATTTTTTAAGTGGAGGGCGGGTATTCGTGTGGCAGATTGATCTCTTATGATCCTATTTATCCTTTTATCTTCTTTATCATTCTTATGTTTTTATTCTTCCATCCTTTTTATTTTACATATATTCTTTTTACCCTTTCATTTTTATATCTATCTTATACTACGTATTTATCTTTATCTTTAGCTCATCTTTTTTATCGTACTTTATCTTTTATCTTTCTTTTACCCTTTCATTTTTATATCTTTCTTATATTTATCTTTATCTTTAGCTCATCTTTTTTATTGAATCTTATCTTTTTATCTTTCATATCTTTCTTTTCCTTTTGGGTACGATATGTTTGCCGACCTAAAAATCTTTTGGGACTAAGGCTGGATGTTGTTGTTGTTGTGATTTAATCATTAGAAGTTGATGCTGGACGAGCATTAAGCATAAAACTTTGTACCTATGCCATTTGTTTGCATGACTTTGTCTGAGTGATTAGTTTTAAGGAACTAATCAACATAATAAATTTTATATCACCGACCCAATGGAATACTGCCACTGTATACTCATCACTTCGAGGACAAATAAGTTGCTGCTTCAAAACAAAGCAGTATGTCTAAGTATGTTCTAATTGTACCACAATACCTCAAATGAAATTAAATTGATAGCATATCTAATGTCTAGCTCCCAATTTTCCGTCCTTTTGCAGGTCATTGCTTTCAGTGATGAGGAAGGGGTTAGGTTTCAGTCTACCTTCTTGGGTAGTGCGGCTATTGCCGGTACTTTACCAGTTACAACATTGCATATAAATGATAAGGGGTCTGCATGTGTAACTTTGAAGTCTGATATATACCTATTGGGGTGCTATTCTTTCATATATTTTAATATGCTATTATTGCAGTGGAGTGACAGTACAAGGTGCTCTAAGAGAAAACTCTATTGAAATTACTGAAGAGGCCCTATCAAAGCTCAAATATGACCAAGAATCTGTTTCCGCATATATTGAAGTACGCTGTCAATTTACATTGTTTGAATGGAATATGTTAGCACCTAAATAAGTGGTAATAAAGAAGCTCAAGTTGCTCATCATGTTATTTATGGGAGCATGTTTTTGCAGATTCACATCGAGCAGGGTCCGGTATTAGAGAATCGTGGCCTTCCTCTTGGTTTAGTTAAAGGCATTGCAGGACAGACGAGGCTAAAGGTGAATTTCTTTGGTGCTGCTTAAGAATATCTATAACTTTCCTTCTTTCATGCACTTTTTGTTTGAGTGAGTCTTCTGGTTATTCCTAATTGCTCAAGGCCTTTTGTGCGATTTATCTAAATTACTGTCATGGACTCGCCTTCTTAAGATGCTCATGTGAGGGCAGTGAGGCCATAGCTCTTTTCTACCCCTTCCACTAGCTAAGTTAATCTCAAGTCTCAACCACGAACTAGTGTTGTGTGTACTAACTAATCGGCATGAAGGAAAGTATTGAAGGTAGGAGAGCCCGTAGAGAAAGCTTAAAACTCTTTGAAAGATTGGAAACACCAAATGACTGTTATTTATAATACGAGGTATTCTTTTCTCTTAGAGGCACACACCCCATAAGGACCAACCAAAAAATTTCATTTAGACACATACCCTCACAGCCCATGTACTTTGCTTTGTCTCGCCTGTACCATGCTTATTTCACTAATACCCACAAATAAGACTGTTGTCATATCAGATGTACATGTTGACCTTTTCGTGTCAGAATTAATATTAATATTATTAGTTTTAATAAAACAGAGATCGGTAAAAGTTGCTAGTATTGATAATCTTGTATCTCCCCACAATGCAAGGTTATTGTGAGAGGCACACAAGGGCATGCTGGAACTGTGCCCATGGATATGCGCCAAGATCCTATGGTTGCATCTGCCGAACTGATTGTATTATTGGAAAACCTTTGTAAACAACCCGAATATTATCTCTCATATGATGATCAATGCCCATCATCTACAGTCAAATCTCTTGCAGGATCTCTTGTCTGCACTGTTGGAGAAATCTCAACTTGGCCAAGTGCAAGTAATGTCATCCCAGGCGAGGCAAGTTGTATTTCTGGAACATAGAAACTAGATAGTACTATAGTAGCATATACATTAGAAGTTCTGTCAAGTCAAGACTCAAAAGATAGGTTGTTTGTCAATTCATAACTTAAAATATGAAAACCATCCATTTAATATTATTAATGAATCAATGATTAACACTAGCAAGAGTCGAAAAATCATGTTTTTCTAGTTTTTTTAATTCTTTTAGCAATTTTTTATTAGTTCTGCATAAGTTAGTGAATACCACATTTAAGGAATTCTCAATAAAAAAACATAAAAATAATTAAAAGTAAATATATTTAAAGTTCATTATTTGTTTTAGCCATAGTTCTTACTTCTTAGATGAAATGACACACATGTTTGCAGGTTAAATTCACTGTAGACATACGGGCAATGGATGACATAGGTCGAGAAGCTATCATTTATGAATATTCAAACCGCATGCATCAGTTATGCGACAGGCGTAATGTTTTCTGCGTCATTGAACGAAAGGTGCAAAGCCCCTCTTTTTATAATACCTTCCCACTTATGACATGGACCGGTGTGCCTAAATTTATTTAAAGACCTCTAACTAACAAGTTAGATGCTGGATTTGTTTTCATCAGCATGATGCAAACGCGGTGGTTTGTGATCCCGAACTGAGTGCACAGCTAAATTCCGCAGCCCGTTCTGCTTTTAGAAAAATCACTGGTGAGACAATAGATGATGTGCCTGTACTGATGAGTGGGGCCGGACACGATGCCATGGCGATGTCTCATCTAACCAAGGTATGCCTCGGCTGCCTCTACATATAATAGCCTCTTGGATAATAATGTTTGTAAGATTAGTGGTTCAATTTAAAAAATTCAATTTCATAGATGAGACGATCAGACGAGTGACTTCTGGCCATTCTAAAAATTCTTATGCTCATATCACGGAGTACTCCTCATTTAGAAGATGACTTTTTTTCTTCATCAGGGAACATGCCCTCAAAGTCCGACATTTTGTCTAATTGCATTTTCATTATAGAGTGCCACACCAATGTTAGGGATCGGGTTAACCAATACCGTATAAATCCAGGGTTATCGTAAAAAGCTAAATTGATGGGGTGAATAGTTTGAAGTCTTGTATGTTATATTATTGTTTCAGATTTAACTGATGTGAGATTGTTCGTTGTTCCTGTAAATAGGTCGGGATGCTGTTTGTGCGTTGCCGTGGGGGAATAAGTCATTCCCCAGCAGAGCATGTGTTGGACGATGATGTTTGGGCAGCTGGCATGGCAGTCTTGGCATTTCTGGAGACCCTCTTGTAAGTAGCGTTTGTAGAGAAGTAGGGAACTTGGTTTCCGATTTGGTCATGTATGTGAATATGCAATTTTTATTGAAGTGTTTTTCCATCATTCCTTTTATTGGAAATATAAATTCATGTGTGATTCCTTTACACTTCTGTAAAGACTCATATTTTGAAATCAAAAGCCAATTAGTTATATTCAGGCTATTTTTTCTTTTATTTAAGCGACTATTTGTTTGACTTTGTTCGTTGTTTGCGAGTTCATATCTTAATGGATTTATTGATAACAATATTTTAGCTTTAACTATAGTTAGTAAAAAATAGAGCTGAAAAGTATGCGTATTTCAAATTGTTATGGAATATTTAATATACGGTAGTTATCGAAAATGAATTATGATTTGATATTTCTAAAAAAACTTCTAATCAATCTTAACATTTTTCTATAGATAGCCTGACAGGATCATTCCTCGATACTAACATATTTTAACTTATTGAGCATTCCGCTTAATAATTGATGTCGTGAAATCCTTTGAAGTCTTGGGCATTCAGCTAGCATTTCACGACTGAAGCCTGAAGGTAATTCTCTCAAAGGATAAAATAATAATAGTATTTTAGGGGCTGTATTTAGAATTCCCCATAAAAAGTTATGTTTTAGGCCCTTGAAAGGGCTCAAATACGAAATGGCAATGTCTCTTTTAAGGCAAGTTTCATATTTTGAAAAGAAATGCCAAAGTACAAAAAATAATACTCCATATACAAAAGTGATCAAAAATAGTAAAATTTAAAAAATCGAGTTCTTTCTATTTTTATAACTACTCAAGTCTGGTCTGATCAGGTCTGGGACAAATTACAGTCCAAGTAAAAACATCCTAAACACGTAGTAATTACGAATAAAAAGAAAAATACCACTATAAATTAGATATCTTGGCGAAATTATTCAAATATTCAATCATAATAACATTAAGATACATGGTTTTCAAATTGCCAAATTAGTTGCTATGTGGAATTATGATGGTTTTTTATTCAAATCAGCCCAAAATTACATAAGTTAATGTTGTACTAGTCTCGATAGTAAAAGAGCAGTTGGGACACCAAAAATAAATACTCTGTAACTATACTTTAAATTGTCACACTTTTCCTTTTTGGTCCGTTTCACTACGACTATATCATACTCTGTACCAAATTTAGTAAAATTTATGTGATTTTAAATCATTTATGCTTTATTCATACTTTACAAAATTTAGTAATAAAGTTGGCGTGTCACCTCCTAATATACTTTTTGGTCATTCTATCTTGTCACATCTGTCTCAAAATTTATTTGTAAAGTCAACATTTGTTGTAAACCAATAATTAAAGTCAGTCGTCTCTATCGAAAATTAATTCAAATTTTAATAATTAAGATTTTCATATTCAGAAATTACATTAAAATATCTTCAAAATTGTAAACAACAAATTTGATTATACTCGTAATTAAAAATTGGCATCCCATTTAAGCTAATGAAATGGAATTATTTGATAAAAAAAGTCAAATTTGCTAACCAAATTGGGACATAGGTAGTATGTCAAAAGTATCAATATCAGGTTTCATTGAAAAAATTGAGTCCAGTCACTTTATCGATTTTTTTAACGTTTTTAGGAAATTGATAAAATTCGTAAGACATAAAATTCAAAAGCGTAGAAAAAAAAATCTAAAAAGATTGTAACTGATGTCAAAATCTATAAATAAATAAAAATCTCATAATTAAAAACAATACTTCGAAAATGTTAGTATGAAACTCAAATGTAGAATTTGCATAACAAAAAGCAAAAATTGGTTTTTATAAAATTTATATAAATAAATATAAAATTTATAGCAAACATAAGAAGTATGGTTTTTATGTTCAAACATTTAGTTCTTTTTGTACCTTTTTCAAATTATTTGTCAATTTACATTTTATACATTTTAAAATATTTGCAATTTTTTTTACTTGTTTATTTTTATTTTATATTTTCCCGTATATTGACTTTTCTGAAATTTCATGAACTTTTTCCCCAATTTTTCTAAAAGTTACATTGGAAAATGCTTAGTGTACATGACTTGTACACAAATTATACACAAAATCCCTTAGTTACCTTTTTTTTTACTCCAGGGGGGTCTGGGGGAGGGGGGGCTGGGGGGAGGCTGGAGTAATCAGGACTGAAACTCACTCCATTGAGTTTCACACCTTTGTGTGCCTAGCAGGATTCGAACACGAGACCTCTCGCTAGGCACGGTAACCTCGCAACTAGCTAGGCTGGAGTGCTTGGTTCGTTAGTTACCTGTGTACACATAAAATTCATTTAAAAAGGGGGCATGACTTCATGTCAAATTGTTTGTGTACAACTTGTGTACATAAAAAATGATTCAAGTTACATAATATACGTAGTCTAAATTAAAGTCTAAACAAGGTCACAAACTGGTTACTAAAACGTCTATATTGATTGAGAAATTAAACTAAAACGTCTTTATTGAATTTTTAAAAGTATGTAAATACTTTTATACGACACTTTTTTAGCATCGAGGTTTAGATGATGGATTGAGATTAATAGAAGACTAGAAGAGTGTCACTACAAAAAAACACGGGATTGACATGGATTGTGCGATAATTTTCTGCCAAATAGATCGTGTCAAACTGTGCTTAACCAGTGCCAAATAGCTCGTGTCAAACTGTGATTAAGACGACCAATTTAATTTAGGATAGATAAAGTAGCGATCATGTTTATTTGTTTTACCTCTAAAGATCATCATATGAGTATTTGTATATACACACACCCGAAAAGGGCTTAAGCCTCCATTCTCACTTGGCAATTTTTTTTTTGGCAAAAGATAACTTCGTTAATAATCATCATGCCAGAATTACATGAGCAATACAATCAGGATACATCCCACCAGGTAAACTTAAAATATTTTTACTTTGACTTATTTCAGTCTCAGATCAGTCTACACTTAAACAAACTAGATCGGACCAGGCAGACTTTAACAGATCAGGCCAGATTTGGACAGTTTTAAAACACAAAAAGACTAGACATTTACTAGAGCTGACCAAATCACTTCAGACTAGATCAGACGAAGCTGAATCAGACCAGACACGAAAATTTCAATCCAAATAAAAACATCATTATAAACATGATAAATTGAATTTAATTACTGCAATTTGGCATCGAAAGTTTAATACAAGATTAATCTCAAAATCAATTCACTAAGTAACTGAACAATAACTTTATACTAACCTTATCAATTCAAGCTTTTAGTGCTAAATAATCGCTAATGTTTGCATAAAAGGTCTAAAGTGTCAAATGCTATCCCTCTCAAAATACCTTCTAACATTGAAATAGCACACTGATTAATAGTGAAAATTTATAACTTGATTAATGTAGAAAAAGAATGATGAATACTGACTACACAAACTACACAAATTATTCCAGAAGAGACCCTGAAACAGTAGAAAATGAAGAGAAACTTTTGACACTAAAAAGGGAAAATAGAAAAAAATTATGAGGTAGATTGAATAGTACTTCTACGTTTGCTCATCTTCATTACTATAAAAACATTTTTTCTAATCCGATTGATATTCATTAGTCTACAAAATAAAATGATTACGTTTTTGTCTATGATTTAATTTAGGGAAAATCGCACTTTTAGTCCCTGAAATAGTCACGCAAATGAAATGTCGGACCCGTATTCTCAAGTTTGTAAATGTCGTCCCTCAATTGTCCTAAATATTGTAAATGTGGTCCCTTTAAGGAGTGAAATATACAATGTGGGCGAGAGTACATTTTACCCCTTGAAGGACCACATTTACAACAATTTGGACAATTGAGGGGTGACATTTACAATATCCGAAATACGAGTCCGACAATTTGGACAATTGTTTTTTGCACGAATTTGGCATATCTCTACCAAAATCCCTGTCAAATTTGGGAAATCCCTGCTAAAAATCCCTGTCAATTCCGTGTTTTTTGTACTGTGTATCAATGTACGTAGCTCTTTTCTCACGAATCAATTTTAGACAATTTTCAAATAGAAATATGCGGCCTTATGTTCTTTTTGGATACGTGAGGGAAAAACTAACGGAAAATGAAAGAGAATAAAGGTAACATAACTTTCAAGAAGTAGAAGAGAAGTTAAAGACTAATGAAACTTAAGTTTGAAATTATTTTTAGGTAATAACTCCGATACTCATTTAAAAAATGGGGGTACCGTACCTACCACTTACATGATTGGTCCAAATCATTAAATTATTTTTAATTTAGATTTAAATAATTCAACTACAACATTCTGATTGGTCCAAGTGGACAAAAATATGGTACCTTTTGGGTACCATAAAATCTACCTTATTTTTATTCTTAAATTAAAAATACATGCATAAGGAACAAGTATGAAACTATGAGTTTTGACTCAAAAGATTGTATCAGTGGAATATTCTCAAAGAAAATGTGTTTGAAAAAAAAGCACTCAATGTTATGAACTAAATGTATATATAAAAATTAAATGATTAATTTAATTTGATAGGGGACAAAATCAGCGAGATATGATATATAGGGGACAAATATTCTAAACAAATGATTTGCTAAGCAAATGATTAGTGTCTTCATTGGAGTTTAATCATTGTAATGGCAAGCATATGGCATGTGACATAAAAGCAAATTTCGATGTATGGAATTATGCCAATATGATCTAGCTACTGGTCTAAATTTAATATTTGGTCGTCACAAATATGATGCCTGACGATATATACGTAGTATTAAAATAAACAGTGCTGGTTACTTTTTATAGTAACCCATTAAAAAGTATATTCTTGCCAATGCAATTCATCCAAAAGGACTTACGTAAAGAGCGAGCGCGAATACGGACAATTTCTCTTGGCCTTCAATTTTGTTCCTTATGCAAGGCCCAGGTTGTCTTCTAAGTTGTATCAGGCCAACGACTTAAATAGTGTGACTGTGGATAGCTTGTTGGTCCAACCCTCACATAAGTAGCAGTGGACAGGATTCCAGTTCCAAAATATGACCTACAGTTCTTGAACCGGAACCACAAATAAAAGCACCAAAATGAAACTAGCAACCCATTTTGGTAGCATATATTTTTGACTTATAACGAAACATTTTGTTACGTAAGTAATTTTTAATTTCGCGCATTGAATTATATAATACGGAGTAATCAAAATATAAGGTTGTTTAAATTAGGAACAGGCTAAGTTGGGCTGATTATTGCAAGAACCAATTCTCTATTTATTTATTGGTACATCATT